ATACATTACGTAGTATATTTGATTACATGGACAAAATAAAATTTTAGGTGTCACACTTTAAATCTCAAATCACCTAACATTAAATAAACCAGCATTTTCTCCCATGAAATTTGATCAAAATCTGTAGAAAAATTATAAAATGTTGCAGAAACAACATCCTGGCAGGAAAAATGATGTTGAAAGGTCTGAAAAACACAGACAAATATGATATAAAATAAATTGAAAAGTAAAGATATAAAATAGTCTGACAATAGTGTGATTGCATGAATGACAAAAAATGACAAATAAAAATGACAGAAATTTGTTGATTAACTGCTTAATTAGGATGTTAAACACATTACCTGTTCAAACCTCTGTTCCAAGACCTCGTGTTCCCAATTAAGATTTCGGAGTTCTTCATCCAATACTTTGAGACGTGCTTTCGCACTCTGTCAATTTGAAACAAGACAGAACTGATCAGTATTTCAACATACATGTTTTATTATAGTCTTTTGTAAAAGCCATACAGCCACCATTAGTATTGGTTAAGCAGAGAAGTTGCTGAATTTGAATCTCTGGATGGAGCACAAAATGTTATGAATACCCCCTGGTATGCCACAGACTCAAAGTAACTGTTAGGAGTTCAATAATTTGGATATCAAGACTTTCTCACTCATAGACAGCAACTAGGATAATAATCTAAAATGACCAACTAAAAACTATTGTACACTAAGATGAGACACCACTTTATGCTCAACTTACTTATAACTAACTATATTGCACTTATAAAACAATATTTGAAAGTAATGGAAGCAGATGAGAGAGATTAAGAAATTATGTATGATATCGGTACTCACAGCTAATGATGCTTTGTCTTTTTCATAATTAGAGAGCTGTCTCTGTAACTCAGCCACTTCTTCACGGGCCTTCTCTAGTGGTTCTTTCAGTCTCCTATTCTCTGCTTGTATTTCATTCATCTGTTTCTCCATTCTCTCTTCTTTCTTCTTCATCTCCTCAACTTGTTCCTGTCAAAAGTTGCAAAAGATTCATTTTGAACAAATTTGTCCTCACCAGACTTTACAGCTACATGTACCGGGGCTATCACAGCACATCATGTACAACATGCTTTCATGAGAAAAATGAACGATTGAAACAAAACAGACATGGATGTATATTAGTGTTGTAGAGGAGTGGACTGCTGCATAATACAAGTAGTAGGGTGTGCGAAGGGAAAACGTGTTACAGGAAATAATGATAATTTCAAAAGCTAAGTGCCTATCTCCTGTAACATCACATAACATCATCATCACATTAATCACACTATCTAGTATCACACTAAATATTAATAAAATCCTGGATGTAAAAATAAAATGACACCTACCTTGAGTGAGTTAATAAGCGCTAAGTTATTGAGCGTGATATCATTGTAATAGTTTTTAATATCACTGAATGCCTTTTCATGATTCTTCATCAGAGTGTTGATCTGACCATTCTTTCTCTCTTCAATTTCATGTATCTCAGTTTTTCTCCTGAGTTCAAGTTCGTCTCTCAGCATTCTCATCTTCTTCTCATACTTGGCCTCAATCTCTTTAGCTTCTCGTTCAAAGTCATTTCTCAACTGCGTGACCATTTCGTCATGTTTCTGAGATCATAAATGAGATGATAACAATTAGGAACAATTTAAATTTATTTCCATAACTATAAGGATGTTGAGATGATATACAGGAGTTTACAAAATTGAAATGCAAAGAGTTTTTCACTTCTGCACACTCACAGTACAAGCCAAGGTATAGCATGATCAAACTTGTTAACAAAGATAACCATGTGACAATATTGTAAGTGAAGTTGGATATGATCATCACTTTCAGGCATCAGGCATCAGAAATATGCAGTTTCAGACAGACATTTTACTATACCAGCGTGAGTTTTGTATCAAACATGTTGGTTTAGTGTTGCAGCTATCCAAGTTACCTTTGAAAATTCATGATATGTTTGTAAAGTGAAAAACACATTTTTTATTACACACATACACGTCTTACCAATGTAGTGACGACACACATTGGATTAGGTTTTAATATAGTTGGTTATGTTTGGATTAAAACACGACTCTATATAGGGTTTTAATTGAAGGTTAATTAAACTCAATAACAATGCAATTCAACATAGAACTGTGTTTTAATTCAAGTTTAATCAAATAAAAGTAGAATAACATCAAACATTCTGTGATTTAACATAGAAATGTATGTGAAGCTTAGGGGTATGTATGGTACCGTACTTATCGGGGTAAGATAAGAGCCCATGCCTGGACAAACGCCCACCCCCTACTTTTGACACAATAAAGACGTTGAGGTCATATCCAGGCACACGCCCAGGTGGTCTTTTTCTACACAAAAAAATAACAAAAAACTATTTTCTATTCGTTGACTGTGGCTGTATTAACAGTTGACTTTCTTGAAGTCTGTCATGATGCTTATAAAAATTATTTAAATATAATTGTTAATTGCATAAAACAAGGGGTGAACGCGAAATAGCTGTGACAGCTTTTTGCCTTCAGGACAGCGCGTTCACCGCGGATTTTTTTCAGAATCATAACAGTCAGCAAGTCTATAAAAATATATATTAAAGCAGAAACGGTAGTTCTCTTTTTGAAATATGTCGTGGCTCTAAAAAGGGCCGGCCGTTTGGTTTGTGCTTCCTTAGAAACGATTCAAGCAAATCGTTTAAGGAGAGCCACTAAGCAACCAATGTTGCAATATTGTAGCAATCCGTACCTGGGAGAGTGGTTGAAATCACGTTATTTGGGCTTTATAAAATATTTGCTAGCAGCTTGCGAATCCATAACTGGGGCCAGCAATTTTCCAATGTCACGCCGAAGACTGCCAACTTTTTTACCATCTTTCATCACCGCTATTGCATTTCTGTCATGGAAATTATTCTTCCGTCGTTGGATTAAAAAAAAACTTCCTATTTCAAGTCCACCGCGAAATCCTTATAGTGAGACATTCCAACCGCCGGAACTTGCTGAATGATAACTTTCACCGTGTTTGATAAGCGTCGAGTCTGATAAGAAAGCAATGTCACGATTTGACCTTTATAATGAAATACAATGTACTAGTAGTGATGTCATTCTTAGCCAATCAGTAAAGCAGATGCATAAAGGTCAAAGATGATTGCCAGACTGTAAACAAAAGCATTGTGTGCCATCGAAGCAGAGCGACCTCATTTTTCTTGTCTCTTTATTGTGATTAGACATGGATGAAAAGTGCCAAGCTGACAGACTGCAAAATCTGTGGATTAAAAGTGCCAAGTACAAATTGTGTGGGACGATATCGACAAACTTCAGGAAGAAGTTGTAGGGATTTTGTTTGACAGCTACAGTGATGCCGACTTGGACTTTGAGGGTTTTGAGTTGACGAAGATGGCAATGAACGTACAAATAAAGATCTCAGAAGTTTTTTTAAACAGCTATGAATTTTTATAATTTTTACTGTGTAAATTTGTAAATTATTATTGATCTTGTATGACAGTTGATTCGTAATTTGTCGAGACCGGAAATCATTTTACGTATTTTAACCCCTGACATTTTAATTCATTTTGAGTTCACGCGTTTTGGGCGTGTTTGTCGGCGGGAAAATCCTAATTCAAATGATTCCTCACTGTCGATTTTTATTATTTCTGGTTTATTTGTCACATTATAAGCAATACATGTACATTAATTTTTTTTTACTTCTGATGTTGCATATTGTTCATTTATTTCCGTTGCATGTTTTCATTTGCCGTTCTATTCCCTGCCGCAGTTGGATCTGCGTGTTGTCAATTTTCGTGAATTTTTGTTTTTTTGCCGGGATCTCCTGGCAAACGCCCACCCCTATTTTTTGGCAATTTTCCATGTTCAGGATAAATACGGCACTATTATATTAAAATTAATTTAACCATACCTTCCCCCTTTACTAATCCTAATCTACGCAAGTTTGACATGTAAATTCTGTATTAAAAGCTGCATCCGACACCCATTCTTTTAGAAAAATTGATAACCAAAAATTCACCATTTCTTGTATGTTTAGATATTCTAATAGAAGCAGCATCCCTTCTGTTGCATTGTACCATTTTAATAGAAGATTTCACTGTATATGAATTATGAAAATAGTGAGGGTCGTCACTTGGTAGGTTTGTTGTTACTTGGTAGGTGTAAAGTTAAATGAAAGTTGTCACAACGTTGACACACACATGAAGCATGACAAAATATAATTTTCAGTTATTGGTATTTATATAATAGACATTGTATTAGATATCTCAGTGGGACAACAGCCAAGAATATGTACCATATTTGTTCTATTAGTAGTGCATTTCCAACAGATGTGCATATATTAAGCCAAAAATTTGTTGGTTACTGAATCATTAAAATATATTTTGAACATAACACCCCTCTGTAATTTACGTAACTAAGGGCATGGTGTTCAACTTGTGAAAAACAGAGATAACTGATGTCACAAACAACTGAATAGGTTATTGAACTGACTCTTTTTCTGCGGCAATGCCATAGGCATACATTCAGTAAAATAGTTACCAGAGAACTCAAAACATGTACACTATGCCAAAATTGAATGTCCATTATCGTTAATAGTGTAAATCTTTTAAAGCTACTCACCAATTTAAGATTCTTGACAACATCTTCATGTGAGAGCTCATGCTCTTTCAGTGTAACTTTGAGGCCTCGCTTGTCTTTTCTCAAGTCTGTTTCATTACCTCTATGGTCATCTTGGGCAAGTTTGAGAGCTACTGCACTTTCTGCTTTCAGTTCGGAGATATTATTCTGGTGTTCATAGAGTAAATGTTTAACCTTCTGTTTGTATACCTGTGAGAGAATAACGCATTAATCAATTGTGGATTGTACTCTATACATGACAGAATGAATGTATTGCGTATTAATTACATACTGTAAAATGACTAATTTTCACTGGGTTTAAATTTCACTGATTTACCATTTCAGGCATACTTCAGTGGGTTTTAAATTCACGGTTTTGTCATTTAGATAATGTGTTCTATGCTAAATTTTACATATTCACTGGGTTGTAATTTAGCGCATTTTCCAGTCAGCGAAATAAGCTAAACTAAAACCCAGTGAATAATTACCCCCTTTACAGTAGTTTACAGATAAAATAAATCTAAAGC